GACACGTCACATCATATCCAGTATAATACATAAAATAGAATTACAACCACACACTATAGATTGTAGTTACTATTCTGCTCTACAATTGTTATTTATCGGTAATAAGATCGAATTTTACCAGAAAATATATTTCTAAACTATGAAATTATCTAGTCCAAAATTTACAGCAATGTGCTATCTAATAGACACTGGTACACACAAGCAATCATCATGAATAAAAGTCCTTCTATTAATAAAACAATTTAATAATATCGAATACTTGATGAAGAAATCGCGAAAAGCTTTTCGAAAAAAAAAATTGATGTATTATGTACGATACATATATGTACGTCGCTCCATCTTTCGTTTCTTTCATCCAATTGATCGCAAGAAACAAACCAATGAAGTATTTTTCTTTTCCTGTCGATAAAAATATCGACGAATAATACGAGAACGAGTATAGCGATAAACGGAAAAATGTTTTTTTTTGTTCTTCTTTCTTGTTCCTCTTCATACCAAGAAGACCTTGTTCGCTAATAATGTTTTTTTTCTCTTCCTCTCCACATACCCGTCCTTCATTAAAATAATAACGAAATATAAATAGAAAGATGTTGTCATCTTCCTGTCATCACGAATAGTTGAAATTCAAAGCAATGCGCACAATAAGAAAAAACCTAAATTAACACGTGAAAGATTAGGAAAGATGAATTTAAAAATGTTTAGCACTTTATTAGAAGAAAAATAAAATTTGTTGATATTTTTTTTTGCATACTCTTCATAAAGATCTAATGAAAGGCAATATTTTTTGAAGTGTTTTTGGATTGAGATTTGGATTTGCCCTTTCGGAGGAAATCCAAGCATCAAATCGAGCCGGAAAGGTGTTCATTCGATAGAGCTCGTCGAGTTCTATCTTGGTATGCCCTTTTCGCCGTTTGGTATAACCTACAGACGAATCCAGTTACGGAATAGTCGAATCCAGCTCCAAGATATCCTACATCTGAAAATTTTCGTATTTTGATCAGTAAAATGGCTGAAAAATAACAATAAAGTAAAGATTTAATGAGTTTGGTTCGATTTAGGTGATTTATACCTCCGAAGTTTGAAATGGTGGCGGACACCCCCTTCTAAAGTTTGAAGGATCGGGCCATCCTTGTGCAGAAACAACTCTTTCTTTAATTTATGATATATGAATTATTATTAAGTAACAAGTAAAATCTATACGAATTCCGATATAACAGAGTAATGGAAATAATTCATTCTTATTTCAAGGTGTTTCAATTTACAGCGATTATAGAAATTGTAGATATTGCAACATTTTATTTCACGATTTTTAACAAAATATATCTTTATTCAATAGCGCCAGTAGATATCAATTAATCATTTATGTTCCTATTGGTCATCAACAATCATTGTCTACACCGTTCTTTGTTTCTCTGCCTCGTAATTATTATTATTAAGGGAACGGACAGTCGTTGCTTCATTCATTTATTAAATAGATAGATTGCAGTCAATTGATAATGACAAAGATATTGTCTGCATAATCCTTATGCAAGGTAGGGTAGGGTAGGTTAAGGGTAAGCATGTCGCAGGGTAGGATAGGGTAAGAAGATTTTTCTCAGTCAGCTTACAAAGAGCTCACCCTGTATATCTCTACTGTGATACTATTTGTGCCATTGATCACTTTTAGAGTCTTCCAATTAGGATAATATTAAGGAAAAGCGAGATAAAAAAAGTTCGTAGGATAAGGCAAGTATATCCAGTTAGACTGTCCATCTTATGTTGCGTAACTTGAGGTGCATACGTGAGCTGAAATAGGGTTGTCATAAATAGATTCAAAAGGATAAAACCAGGTTTTCAGAAATCCCAACTCATATGGAAAGAGTGGGTAACCAGTTCTCGCTCGCATAAAATAGTTGAACGGTCAATATCAATTCAGTTAGTGGATATGGAACTGTCACATAGCTATGCTAAACCGTTTTTATGTATAATAAAAACGATTCAAATATGTTTCATTTTATAATTCTACATGATTTTTTTTATTTAGAAAGAAAATTAGATTAACAAAAGAAGCAAACAGTAGTAAATATTTTCTATTTTCTGTAGATTTTCTATAAATAAAGTAACTATTTGATACTTTTATCAAGATCATATTGGTGATAGAATTAAGTGGTAAGAATTTTCGATGATTTTGAATCATTTAAATGATTGGATTTAATTCAATAGTGCAATACATGTCTCAGATTCTTCATCATCTTTACAACAAAGTACAAACGACGACGACGGCTGCATGGTTTTTGAGTATGAATTAATAAATCTATTTTTAGAAAATAATTGATTTTATTCTTTTATAGACCAGCTCGTAATGTAGCATCTCAAGTATCGATTGATGATTGTCGTCGATTGGAATTAGCTAATATTTTACGTGACAAAGAAAGTCGAGAAGCTGTAAGACTAATATAAATATTTGACTAGAATTTAAAATCTTTTATTTATTAGCTTATCGGTCAATGGATGCTTTTAATAGAAGAAAAAAATAATACTGAATTATTAAATATTGTAATTATATTTAATATTTGATGGATCTTTTTAAAATTTTCTATTTATTTAGGAAAAACTTTTAATTTTATTGGCTGGTATTTGTGATTATTTGGATCAAGGAAATGCAGATTCATTAAAACATGCACTAGGTAAAAGAAAAAAAAATTTCTTTCAATATTTCTTTTACTCAAATAAATTATTTAGATCAAATTTGTAATGGAACAACAATGGATAGTGATTTACGTATCGACCTTGAACGTTCATTTTATCTTTTTGTGAAAGCTGTATGATTGATTATTCGATTGGAAAACAAAAACATATCTAAATAAAATTTCTTTTAGGCAAATAATGTTCTTTCATCAAGAAATTTTCAACCGCCACATGTTTTATTTGCACTTGATAATGCCATTCGTCGTATTGTCGAACAACTTCCCAGGTCGAACAAGCACGGTCGTAAACGATCGTATACGGAAAAATACGACAAAATACCTGGCTCAGTATTACGATCGTAAATCGCCGTGTTGTATACGGAATAACACGACAATATACGGAGAAATATACGATCGTTTACGATTTTCGTATACGGAGTCCGTATACGGTACCCGTTTTTGCTCTGTATTTCTCCGTATACGAAGTCCGTAATCGTCGTCCTGGGTTGTTGGTCTTATTCGATCAGGTTCATTTTCTCTTTATATTCCATATTAATTAGTTTTTTTTAAAATCTATTATAGATTTTATTCCTGCTGTTAATAATATGATACCATTGACACGAAATACTGATTTACTAACTAGTACGTCATATCTACGTACATTATCAACTAATAGTCCTGATGGATTGATAAATGATGAAGTAACACGTGTACATAAACAACATAGAACACTTGTTGAAAAAAACCCAGAGTAGATATGAAAATATTATTAAATAATAAAAAAAAAATTTTTTTTTTTTTTAATTTTTTTCAAGACAACTTAATCAATTGATTAAAATTGTAAGTAATGAACGAAATGGTAAATCAAGAAACTAATGAAATTTTTTAAGAAAAAAAAAATTTGTTCATGACTGTTTAAGCATTCATGTATATTCAAAAATTATTAAATTTTTCGACAAATATTTAATATGACTATGATCATGATCAGGTCAGATCAGATCTTTTTACAATGACTGGTGCAAGATCTTTTACATTTATTAGTGACTTTTGCTATAACAGACTCTATTTTCTATTTGTTTTGATTCTTGGAAATCATATTTTTGTTTTTATTTTCTAGTAAACCAATGGAAGTTTATTTATCTATAGAAACATCTATAACAACAGAAAACATCGTAAGTTTTATGTTTAATTCTCTTTTTTTTTGCATTGTATGATTTCTTTTATAAATAAGAATCCAAATTCATCCATTCCAACATTAACAGAAAAAAGGAAAGGTATTCATATCACATCAACATCACATGTATTTTTTTTGTGATATATGTAAACGTTTTGTCTCATTTTTTTTCTGTGTGTTCCCTAGACTAAAATAAGAGCCAAATGAAATAAAATGAATTTGTTTGTCTTTATGCATGTATGTTTGCACGCACAGAGGAGTAGTAGTAGTAGTATAATGCTTTTTATTCAAGTGCAATATCTACGGATCGATAGCATCGGCTATGAGCGAGTATTGCTCTGTAGCCAAAAACAAACTAATACGAAATAGAACAAAAGATGGAGAAATAAGAAGACAACATTTAATATGTCATGTAAAGGAGAATAGAGAAAAGCTAAAGAAGATTTAAAAAAACATAATATAACATGAAAGATAGTGATGGTGATGTAGATGGAAAAGGAGAGTCAAAATAAATAAAAAATGTATATATTATAAATGGTAACACAGCACATGATCAAAAAAGGAGCGATAACCTTCCATCAAGAGTTTACGTGTGTGTGTTTCCGAATTCTACCTTTTCCAAAAAAATTTCTTCTTTCTTTTGATAATAATGGATTTGAAAGATATTCTTGAAGGTACATAATTGACAATTTGTGTTGCAAATAATCTTCAATAATACTTGAATTTGTTGTGAGTAATGTATTCCTTAATTTGTCCCAGTGTGTAGCTACGGATTTAGTGATAGTTTGCCCATGAAAAAAAAACTTTGGAGAAAATATGCGTTTCAACGCAAACTTTTGAAAACAGAACGCTACTTTCGCGTTTAAACGCGTTCATTTATTTTTCTACAGGTTTTTTTTCTATTGCAAACGTGTTTTAAAAAAGGTTTTAATGCATTCGTCAAAAATGGTCGCTTCCCAAGCAGTCAACCTGCTCTAAAATTCTGAGTAATTACGTGGATAAAGGAAGAATTTATCAAAAGTATTCGAAAAAAATTTCGATCTCTGCTAGAGTTTGTAATTTTTTAAAGAACTTCGGTAAGTTCTAATACAAGAGATTCCCATAGACCATCAGCAGAAAACCTTCGTAAGCTTTGAACATGAGTCAAACTCTTCTCAACTCAGCGTTCACTCTTTCGCAACTGTGATATTGTTTTGTTTTTCCTTCAGTTTCTATAATTATTTTCTGCAAGATTGGTTACTGATACACAAATATACTTACTAATGAACATTGCAACATTTTGTCCACAATCATCTGTCCTTGCGACATTTTGTCCATGACTAAATATCCGCGACAAATTGTTCATGCAACGATTTGTGCGCGACGATTTGTCTCGCGACATTCTGTCCTAGCGCCGCTGTAATTGTATGCCTACATTTTCTGTAAATCAGGGCCGTAGTACTTCAGAGATCTATTTCATCAAATACAGAACTTAATCTGGTTTGAATCGAACTATAATCATGCAAAGTATCAACATAATGTAATTTTTAATTTTTCTGAATAAACTTTAAATTATCTATTTATTTTAAAAAAATTATACGTACGTTGTTAAGATGAAAAAATAACTATAAATATATATGTTGATAATAATATCGTCAATTAATAGATAATTATTTAGTATTTAGTTGATCTGATATAACTTCGACAAAATTCTGTGTCGAAGTTATACTTTGACAAATTCGCCTGTCGAAGTTGTAACTTCGGCAAAAGTGTTGTCGAAGTTACAACTTCGACAAAAAGTGTAACTTCGGCACGACATATATGTATATATAGAAAGAAATTGAATAGGAACAAGAGTATCAGTTAGACACAGACATTTTGAATAAGAACGATATGAATACACTCGATTTACCTGATGAGATGTTGCTTACTATATTTAAGAAGCTGAGTACTGTTGATGTATTCTATTCACTTGTGGATATAAATCAACGATTAGATCGATTAATATTCGATTCTTCCTATATTTCTGATCTAAACTATACAAACAACTCTTTGCTAAATTGTAGCTTTGCAATTGTCGATCGAATCTGTGAAAAAACTTTACCTTGCATTCATCATTAAATAAACAAACTCACTGCTGAATCACTTTCTATCGAATGTATGCTTCATGCTGTCAATTATACTCAACTTCACTCTTTATCACTAACTAAATTTACACAAAAAATAACTTTACAGTTTTTAACAGGTATACTTTTCAATTTTATTTTATTTTATTTAAGAAAACCTTTGTATTGTTATTCATGAATTAATGCTTATTTGTATGTATATTTGGAGATGATACTAAACTTCTTTATCTTCTCACTAATCAAATTACACATCTTAATGTTGAAATCAATGGTGAAATAACAACAGAATTATCGAATGAAGATGAATTCAATCTACTTGGTTTGATATTATCTTTCAGTAAATGTCTAATCGATTTGACTTTTAGTCAGTCGTTTGCTGATAAAAGATTAAGAATGTCAACTTTGAATATAACATCAATAAGTTGTGTATCTTCACTTTTAACTAAGTTAAATATTCTCATGTAAATACTGTTGATGATTGTTTATGTCTTCTTGAGGGACGTCTCAGATGTTTGTCAACATTGATATATCAATATATTTAAAATTTTCGATTCATCATCAAATATATATAATAGAATAAGTAGAAATTTTATTATTATTCATTGGCAAAATTTAACGATTATATATATTCATTCATGTTCTATATAGAAAAAACTTCCGAAATTGAAATGGTTCTCATTGACTTCAAAATGTTATACAAAATTTTATGAAAATGGAATTATTCCACTATTATGTCGAATGTCAAATCTTGAAAAACTAACATTATTTCTTTCGCTAGAAAGATTCGAATCGACTTATATGGATGGTATTCAATTATATGATGAAGTGCTCATTAATATGCCACGACTAAACAAATTTACTTTCAGTATAAACACTGCTGTTGTCAATAGATACATTACAATCGATTTTCCATCAAACAATGATATTCAACATAGGTTTATCAAAAGAGGATATCAACAAGTTGACTCATATGCCGATGATAAACGTACGAACATTGTAGGCAGATGTCACATTTGCTCACTTCCATGTGAATTTGATACTTTTCTTCATTTGGCCAACTGTTTTCACGGTAGTATGTTTAATAAAGTTCGAATATTGACAATGGCTGATAAACATCCATTTGAACATGAATTGTTTGAAAAAAAAATCTCTCAAGATTTTCCTTTTCTTCACAAATTATACGTGCTTAATTTTAAACAACAAAAAAACTAACATTCGTCTGCATTCATTATATTTAACCATCTAGTCGTACTCAATTTTAAGCCGGCCCATGTTGATTATGTTGAACAATTTCTCTTGGGAACAAACACTCGTTTACCTCGTTTGGAAAATCTATACATCGGATATGAATCGTTAGTAATGGTAACAAATAATTTTACTAATGATGCAATACGTAACAATTGTAGTCAATTGCGAAGAATTATTATAGATGAACCATTTGTTCGTTCAGAAAGTTTTCATTCATGCTTTTCTTTATTGTAAATATTAAATATCTTCAAACTTGTTTCAATTGAAATAAATCCTTAGAGAAAATTAAATATATTGTCATCATGACAATTTACAATTATTGCCAAAATCAATGATCGTTTGTTATGTGTCTAGTTAGTAGGAATTTACAGGTGTGTGTGTCAAATAAAGAAACACACGTACACCGTAGTTAGGCTGATGTTGCAAAAAAAAACTTACGAAAACAAGACTTGCGGGAGAAAGAATCTTGAATAAAATAAAATCAAAATATATTCAGCTGACTTGAAAATGTGAACAAGATATCAAGTAGAAATTAATCACTGAATACTAATCAAATATCAACAACTTGATAAAGATTTTTTTTTGCTATTGATAAATTCATTATTCTCAAAAGTGTATCATCTAGAACAACAATCTTATTTGCTCATAGTTCAAACTCGTAATTTCTGTATTTTTCGAATTGACAGATGAATTATTCAATATTCGCTAGAAAAGAATATGAACTGTAGCTAACGTTGCATGGCCACATAAATCAACTTCATTTGTTGGTGTAAACCATTGAAAAAAATATCGTTCATTTGAAGGTGAACTTTTTGCTTGAGTAATAATAGTTGTTTCAGATTTGTTGAAAAAGCGTATCCATATTTGTTGTATATGGTATATCTCGAAATGAGGTACAAACAGCATTCGGGTTACCTTTGAACAATTCATCAGGGAATGCATCTACTGCATAAATATAAATCATTTTTTACAGATCAATAATGAATGTAAAAAAGACGAGAAACACAAGTGACTATGTAGTTGTGGCCTATATAATAAAAACGAAATGACGAACAAACAAACAAAAAATAAGCACATAGCATCTTAATAAACATCTTACTGGTAAAGAAATAGTAAAATACTGTTGAATAGCGACATCTTCATAATTATCAGTTTAGCATGAGATGCTTATATTTATGGTTACAAGACGAACCAATGACTGTAAAAAGACTTTTCAATATGAAATCTA